TTGAAAGCTATGTTAAATTTTGGGCCCTGTAATTCAATTCTGAAAAGAATATATATATATATATATATATATATATATATATATATATATATAGTAGCCCATAACTATCCTAGAGGGCAGTAGTGAGCTAGCAATCAGAAAGTGGGGAAGCCAATTTTAGAAAGAAGGATGAGGGAATCTTTCAAGGGCTTTTAAGGGTGAGGGTGGAATGAAATGGGCTGTTGTGAATAAAGCACCTTAGTTTTAGTTCAAAAGTTGTTTGTTTTCTTTCTGATAGGATGCTTAAGCAGGTTGAGCAATACTTGCCACAATAATGGATCTTAGGCAGTGGATAGAAGTAGTTGGCCTACATAGTGAACAAATTTTAGCACTTGAAAAGACAAACAATAGTATTGCTTGGGGACAAGCAATAGTTCAAGTTTGGGGGTGTGTTAACTTTCCAAAAGAGAGTTATTTGAGCGATAAATTCACATAGATTAACTAAGGATAGCCTCAATTGCACTCATTCTACACTAAGTTTGTATTTGAAATGCTATAAAGTTTTCTCCCTTCTTAACCTTGCGAACTTTGTTGGAAGATCTAATTTTGGGCACTTTGTTGCAACATCGACTATGCTACAGAATTGGAATTAGAAAAGAGCAAAAAGCGACAGGCTGACAGTGATAGAGCTTTAATCTGGGAGTTACCAGAGTAATTGATGAAATCACGTAGAAGTGAGAGATAGGGCCCATGAAAGTTGTTTGTTGCCCTAAAAACAGATGGGGCGTATAAAAGCCAACACTAAAGGAAGCCTCCACACACTTTTCACATCAATCAACCCTCACTTCAAGAAAACCTCCTAAATACAATTCGAGAAGTCAAGAGGAAGAGTGGAGACCCGAAGTCGTTGCTGAAACAGAGAGAAATAGTAGCCTACAAGGAGCTGAAACTTTCAACTCCTTCTTTTCAATCTTGCGTCAATTTCTCATTGTATTCATTCTTGTTCTTTTCTTGCTTTTTCCATGACTATGCGTAGCTAAGCGCATTCGTAAAGGGGAAATGTTGTGAACTCTTCTCTTGAACTGTAAACTGTGCTATTAGCATTAATGATGAATGGATATTGAGTTGAACTTGTGTTTAAAGTTATTTCCAGCATGCTTGATCACCATTGTTGGAATATTATCTTGTTAACTCTTGGAAAAGTGTAATAGGGAGTTGTAAACTTCAATTTATGCTAGAATCTGCTTGAGTTAGAGAGTGAGTAGTTAGGAATAGGGCTCACCTAGCACGGCTATAAACTGCTACTATATGCTGTTAAGTTTGTCTAAAAACCCTAATAGTAGAAACCTAGGATGTCTGGAAAGGCTCCAAGTCTGTTTGGCCAGTATTCACATTATTAATGATATAACATCGTTTGTGTAGTCCAAAAAGGTCACATTCAACTTCCCCCTTACGCTGTTAAAGAGTAAATAGTTAACCATTTTTATTGTTTACTTTCTTTGTTAAAAAGCCACTTGAATTCAATTTAAGTTCAGGTTTATTGTATTCATTGTGCATCGCAACATTTATTTTATGTATTACCCTTATTGTTTCTGTTGTCCAACATATTGCATTTAGATTTTAGCTTTCTTGAGCCGCTATTAAAGTGTTTAGTAAGTATTCCCTGTGGATTCAAACTTTTTATTACTTGCTACAACGGACGTGTATACTTGCACACAAGGGACACAAATTCGTTCAACAGCCATCAAGCCAATTCTCGACTTAACCCAGCAAACTATTGATTTCTTAAAGTATTTTAAGGATCGTTACAAAGAAGGGAAGAAGGTTGGAACTTTGTTAACCGGAAAACTCTTGTCTGCATAAGGGCTGCTTGATTACAATAGTTTGTTATTTCGTCCAAAGACCCAACACTCCAACTCGGAATTAGGTAGGTCACCCTCGGTAACCTCTTAATGCTTGTGCAGTCTCTTTTGGTTCTCACAGTGTCCTTTTATGCAGCCATGGTGTGCGGATTTTCTAATGCCATGAAGTGCAAGCATCCCAGCGATGCCAAATAGTCTAAGTCGTGGCTGAGTTCGAGCCCAAAGGCGGTAGGAGTGACTCTAGAGGTCTTGGTTGGCCTGGAGAGCGCCTAGGAGGCGTCTTCTGGTGCAAAGGGGGCGCACATCTGCTCTGATGAGGCACTGGAGGTCACCTCCTCCAAACTGTCTATGTGAGGTCTTTTCCAAATAAGACCAAGAAGAAAAAGAAGAGGACTACCTCTTCAGATGGTGTAGAATCCGAGTAGATGTGCGATGGGATCATCGACCTAACAGATGATCGTGAAGCCAAGATGGGAGGGATCTCGGACATTGAAATAAGGTTCCGGATCAAGCCCTTAAGCGCTGAGGTAAGAGAAAAGGTGGCGCAAGTGGGGAGCGCCAGCTATTCTCGATGCTTGCGACACATGTCAAAGTTCATCAGTGCTCCGGGGTCGGCCATTCAGCAAACGGAAGGGGCATGAGGACGAAATCGGGTATGCAATAAGTGCTATGGAGATCCAAAAGTTCTTGTTTAGTAGCCAACGACGGAACATGGTGGACAAATGGATGACGAGCCATGGAAACAGTCGATTTGGAGAGAAAGCAAAGAAGCACAGGCGTAGAAAGGGTGTCATCGTCACCCCGCCTGCAGATGGATTTAAAAAGATATCTGAGCGCCGTTTCGAATCCCAATGGCCTTGAAGATCGCGGTCGTCGATCCCGCGGCTTAAAAAACCACGCTAGGGACGCAATCGCCAGCGAAACAGAGGCAGACAAGTGTCCCTTCGTCACAATGGCCATACACACTGATGATTGATCTAAGTAGTCACAATAACTCGATTTTCGGAGATACGAACGGAACGTCCATGTGCCCTACTCGACCCCAAACGCTTTTGGGCCTAGCACACTAATTGACACAGTGGCTTGGCCCCAAAAGAGGGCTAACTGTTATGGGTAGCTTCCTAATAGGACACGTGTTCGTCCCTCCACGAGCTCGGGCCCACTGAGAATAGTTTCTCAAAGAAGGTGTCCCTGAGCAGAAGGTGTGTCTGCTCACAACGGGACGAAGCACCACGAGTGGTTACGTCCCGTACATAGCCACAGTTGGCGACACGTGCTGTCGGCACGACGAGTGGATCCCCAGTGGCCCTGAGCGACATGCCCAGACGACGTAGGTGGCGGGACCACCCTGTACTGTCGGAAATGCGCCGCTCTCTGTCCAACCATACAGTACGTGATGCCCCGGCCAGTTCCACCCGTTGTCCTTCTTGGTCGGTCCTCCGGGGCTATAAAAGGAAGGACGATCCTCCACACCAAGTAAGTGAAAACCTATCATTGAAATCTTCGGTGTCTTATTCCTTTTCTTACTCTAATCACTGACTTGAGCGTCAAAGTGTATTAGGCAGGACACTGCACCAGCGTCGAGTCTTTGGTTTTAAGTCCAGTGGATCCACGGTCAGATTGCTCGTCCGGAAGCCAAAATTCGCCGTCAACACTAACGTTTTTACAAAAATGTTGAGATAAGTTCGCCTATCGTTTTATTAAAAGGGTCGATATATATGTTATTTCCTCCGACGTTTTGCAACAAACGTTTGGAATATGGATGAGTTCAAACACACAAAAATTACGCGCTAAATATTCCGATGTTTTAATAAAAACATGGGCAAAGATCCCTTCTCCGTTTTACAAAAACGTTCGGAGAAGATCACTTATTCCCATGTGTTTACTAAAAATGTTGAGAGAAGTAATCTTATCCAAACGTTTTTTTAAAAATGTTGGGATAACATCATGTATCCCAATGTTTTATTAAAAACGTTATGAGACGTAATTTGATCCTAATGTTTTTATAAAAACGTTAGGATCAGTTTGCCCATCGTTTTATAAAAATCGTCGATATATATGTTATTTGTTCTGACATTTTGCAACAAACGTTGGGAATATGAGTTGATAAGTTCAAACATACCAAAATTATGCACTAAATATTTCGACGTTTTAATAAAAACGTGGGACAAAGATCCGTTCTTGGGTGAAGGTCACTTATCCCCATGTTTTACTAAAAACGTTGAGAGAATTAATCTTATCCCAACGTTTTTTGTAAAAACGCTGGGATAACATAAGATATCCCAATATTTTATTAAAAATGTTGCGATAAGTAATCTTATCCAAACCTTTTTTATAAAAAGGTTGGAAATATTATTTTTAAAATAAATTTGAAATTTAAACTATTTTAAAAATTAGTTTTGAAAATAGTAGTATTTTAAAAAACAAAACTTAAAAAATGGCTCTCACATCCATCAAATTTGTCAATACTTATGATAATAAGACTTATCCAGGTTGATTTCTAATCTATTAACATTTTTTAATTAAGATTTATTTTTTTAATTTACCAATTTATTAATTCAATTTTTTTTTATAAATAGAAAAGGTTAGGTTTGTGATGGTGTGAAACTATAAAATGATTATTATATTATTAATAACTTGTTTGATAACTATTTTTTTAGTACAATATGTTGGGGGATTCGAACCCACAACCTCTTGGTTTGATAATTGTTTTATTTTTTATTTTCACTTTCTTAAAATTAATCTTATAACTATTACTTTCGCATTTGTCTCGTGAACAATTTTTCAATAATATTTTTTAAAATCAAAGCTAAATTAAAAAAATGAAAAAAGTAATTTCCAAAAAATACTTTTTATTTCTAAAATTTGGCTAAAGTTTCAAATCTATTAGAAAGAAAAGTGAAAAACATAACAAAGAATTTTTTTAGAAAACAAGCTTAATTTTTAAAAATATATAATAGAAAAATAAAATAGTTTTCAAACTGGTTAAGTAACTTGTTTTAAAATTCCAAAAATATAAAATCAGGTGATCTCTCTTTTTCAATTTTTATATCTTCCACACTTTATTATTTTATTTAATAATAATAATAATAATAATAATAATAATAATAATTACGATTGAAACACGGTGGTTTTCATTTTTCAGCAAAATCTTATTTTGTTTAAACAAATTTCAATCCGCGCCTCCACCCCTCGATTTTTCCCTCCCTTCCTTCATCCCGCTGTGGTCGCTCCCCACCAAAGTCGCCGCCGTCGCCGCATCTCGCTGAAGCCGCCGTCGTCGCCGCTTCCTACTGAAGCCGCCACCGTCGCCGCATCCCGCTGAAACCACTGCCGCCGCCGCATCGTTTCTGGAGGTCTCAGAGTCTCTGCAACGTTGCTCACCGTCCTCAGCCTCTTTGAACTTCTTTTCCTTCTTCCAAGGTATGCCAAACACTCTGCTCTTTCCAATCTCTTATAATTTTCTTCTAATTCTTCAAAATGTTTGCTTCACTGGTTGCTCAATTTCCATGTTGAAGTTAGAAATTATGTGTAAATGTCGATTTTGGTGGTGAAAGATGTGAGTTTTGGGATTCGGCATTGAAACTTTTCTTCTGTATTTCTTCTGCTTGGCTATTCTATTGTGCATTTATGAATTGGAAGTGGTGTTAACCCTAGCACATCAGTTTACCTTTTTTCTTTTTATGCATCGAAATGGTAAATTGTATTCGGGATTTAAATCCTAGATAGATGGTGCTTATTGAAATTTCTACTGGAAATTAGTGTTTGAATTCCCCAATTGAAATTCTCAAAATTGAAATTAGTGAATTGGAATTCATTATTGTACGAATTCCTGAATTTGGATTCCGTTAGTTAGTGATCAGTATTGGAAATTGGGAATTGGGAATTCATGTTAGTCAGTGGTTGGTTTTGTTAAGATAGCACATTAGGAGGTTATTGTCATTTTGATATTTTGTCTTTACTGATGTAAGTGAAGTGTATTTGCCTGCAATGCAAGACAAACACAATGAAATAAAGCCGTGATAAAAGCAGACAAGACTTCTGTTGAACATATCCCAATAAGGAATATATGAAATTAATTGATTCTAAAATTAATGCTATATGAATAACGCTCAAGATCAAAAACTAATTTAATATTTAGACATTAATTAAGAATTATATTTTTACTAAACAATTTCCCAAAAAGCATATCTAAAAGCAAAAGGGCCGCTTGATGTCCTGAGATTTTATAAATTTTAGAATGACTTTCCTCTATTAGGAAAAAAAAAAGTTTTCAAGGGTACTATGGTCATAGACACTACTGCCAGACATAAATTCTGAAGTAAAGAAATAGAAAAATGACTGCCAAATTAATCGAAAGAGATAATGCGTATTCGTTTATTTTGTCCAATAGGGTTATAATAGATAATAATGAACTCTTTGCTTGATTCACTTGTTACAATGCACATACTTGGGGGCTTGGTACATGCATCTATAAACTGTACAACATTCTTGCGCCTGACTTTTCTGCCAGTCAACAATAAATGTTCATAAAAAAGATTATTAACATGGAATTAAACATAAAGCAGAGAAGCCCAACCTCTCTACACATCACTAGAATAAGAAAGGGAGGAAAGACAGCAGAAACAAAAATGGAAGCTGTAGAAAATTTACTTTGAAGGTAGTTACTATCATAGAAAATCTTGGTAAAGGAACAAATTCACTTGATGACACTCGTAGCTAATGGATATAAGTGTTTAACAGCATTAATCATAACAAGCATCAAATGGGATCTACAGCTAACACTTGGCCCGCTCCATGCTCTTCTGCCTTCAAAGGTCCATGGATTTCTATCCTTCAACAGATTCATCTCATTAAGGATATTGCTCTCTGCCAAGTGGGGGAAGATAGTCAATGCAGCTTTTGGAGGGATAAATGGTTCCCACATGGGACCCTTGCCAGCCTTTACCCGAGACTTTTTGCTATAGCCACCAATAAGGATGCCAAAATTGCTGAACTTTGGTCTAAGAATTCTTCCTCTTCGGATTACAGTTTCCGCATGCTTCTTAAAGATGAGGAATTTGATGATTGGATGGACCTATCACAGTTACTCAATGCTTTCACCCCTCCCTCTCTTGAAGACTTATGGATCTGGCCCTTGGAACCGAGTAAATCATTCACTACCGGCTCTATTTTTAAGCACTTGACTATGAATGGAAACCATACCAAATCCTCCCTTTTCTCCAACCTTTGGAAAGGCATTGAATACTTATGATCGGATTCAGAGGAAACTTCCCCATTTCTCCCTCTCCCCCAACTGCTGTCATCTTTGTTACAGGGCATCGGAATCCCTGGGACACGTTTTCATCAGCTGCAGCTTTGCCTCTAATTTCTGGGGGCGCCTCCTCACTACTTTTGGATGGGAGACAGCACTGCACAACAACCCACTCATCTTCCTTGATTGTCTCTTGGTGGGTCATCCTCTCAAACAAAACAGAGCAACACTATGGACTCTTTTCATCAAAGCCTTCCTATGGAGCTTATGGCTAGAGAGGAACACCCGAGTCTTTAATGATAAATCTCTTCCTTTTGATATCTTTTTTGACAGAGTTACTATCTCAACTCTGGGTTGGTGTAAAAGTTACTATCCATCTTTCCATAGCTACACCTTGAACGACCTTATCTACAATTGGAAGGTGTTTTTGTAAATGCCCTTGCGGCCTTTTTTATATTTCAAACCATCAATGAAATTCTCGTTTCATATATAAAAAAAAAATAGTCCGTATATAAAGTTATAAAATATCCCTTATATTTCATTGCTTCAGTTCCTCTCCAATCAACAACAACCCCAACCCCCCTTATGGTCATAGACACTACCACCCGATAAAGCTTCTGGAGAAGACTGACATGATAAAAGAGATAAATAAAGACAGAAGTATGGAGAGAAAGAGAGCGATAACATAGATTGAAGGAGGTTTTAGGAAAATTATAAGACCTGTAGTTTGAGAGAGATGGTTGTTGAGTAATGGGGTGCTGAAGAAAAAACGCTTTGAAAGTTCTCTATCAGTTCATTTGCCACTATCATTGTGTATAGAAAAGATTGAAGGCAACAACAAAGAGGTGACATTCATGATGTTATCGAAAAATAGAATGAAAACGAATGATTCTTATTCTCTTAGTACCATCAATTATAGAATCTTACATGAGTTTGAGAATGACATTTTCCTATGTAGTTTTATGGTTTGTGTACTTATGATTTCTATTTTTGGTTCTGTGTTATGTTTTGGTTTCTTTTATATGGTCTTATATATCTTTTCTAAAGCTTGTGACTGTTTGGTGTGAACATACAAAGCTATTGTAGCCTCCGCAAGCTACAAGCATTGAGGGGAGGGGTCTGTGTACTTATTGTAGCCTCTATTAAGCATTGTAATTATTGTGTCTTTAGGAGGAGGATTTTTATGGGGTTAATTATTTTTAATTTAATTTAATTTTGTCTGTGGTTGTTGTGAGAAATGTGACTTTTGTTAGCTATGTTTTATGTTATATGTTTGTAGGTGTGAAATTTGTTTTTGTTAGCTATGTTTTATGTTTTATGTTGGTGGGTGCGGAATTTCTCTCTCTTAGCCATGTTTTATGTTTTCATCAAGCTTTTATTTTCACATATATATAAAGTGGTGATCATTTTGGCTTATAAGTACTTTGTGCTTACATAAACTATATTTTTTAGGTTCTTCGGATTTGGCTACTATGAAATTTTGTCATGTAGAGCTTTTGAAATGCATGAAACTTCTACTTAGGTTTATGTATCTTTTGAAACATATTGAATGTGTAAATCGAAGAACTTTTGAAATATGTGAACCTGAATGATATTTTGGTATTTAATATATTTTGGTATTTGATATATTTTGGTATTTGATATTTTAGTATTTAATATTTTGGTATTTGACCTTCAAATCAGGTATCCCAAGAATGTCGAGATTGATATTAGTGCATTTTATTTTAGAAAAAAATTAAATATATATTGCCAAAATTTTTGATAAAAATGTCGGTAAAACTATAAATATACCGACGTTTGCAAAACGTTGGAAGAATAGTAGATCTGCCGACATTTTTCAAAATGTTGGCAGAATAGTAGATGTGCCAACATTTTGGAAACGTTAGTAGATGAAAACTTTTGCCAACATTTTGAAAAACGTTGGCAAATGTAAACTTTTGCCAACGTTTTCATAGCTTTAGCAACTTTGTTAACATTTCTCTAAAACGTTGGCAGAAGTTTCCATCTGTCAACGTTTCTTTAAAATGTTGGTAGATCTGCCAACGTTTAGAAAAAGTTGGCATAAAGTTAGCCTTACCAACGTTTTTTGAAGGTCGGCAAAAGTATGGTTCTGCCAACGTTTTTAAAAACGTTGGCAATGTGCTTTTCCAACGCACTTTGCAGACTTTTTTACTGACGAATATTTAACGTCGGGAGAAACTAATCCCAACATTTTTTTGCTCGTTTCCCAACGTTTTATAGCGTTGGGAAAAATTCTAATTCTTGTAGTCATACAAACTTTCCAAATTCTTAAATCTTAATCATCTCGTTAGTGGTTATAGCCTGCGAATCACCTTTGCATTAGAGAATTCTAATGTTGTGAAAATTGAACTGCAAAGATTCTACATTTGTATTATCATTTCTAGATAGATATGTGGGTTAAAACAAACAACAATGAATCCATTAGCAATAATGGAAGTAGGTGTTGATGCAAAAATACGTCCAAGTGTTGTGGAGCGACCTATGCTGGGCCCTAGCGAGCTGTTGCGGAGCGAGCTGGGTAGGGAAGGTCTCTCTAACGAATTGAAGTATGGCTAGCTGGAGAGGGAAGACTTATCGGCCAAGCTAACGCGGAGCGAGCTGGAGAAGAGAGACCTTCGACGCTCAAGTTAGTTTGAGTTTGAGCTGAGTAGATCAGCTTCAAACAGAAATTGCATATCTTAGTGGGTGGAGTGAAGGTGTATTTATAGAGGTGTGAGGAGTAGTTACCCATCCCATCGGGGTGTGATATTTCACCGTTCTGAGGTTAGGTGACCTGCTATGGATCGTAGGTCCGTGTTGGTCTCTGGATTTATCCCTACCTTAGAGCATGATACTTGGAAGGTTCTCATTTGCCTCTAAGTAACTGGGCCAGACCTCAGAGGTCGACCTATGATCCTTGGAGAACAGCTCGGCTTGCGATAGTTTGCCCTCCAATATTGAACTATTGATAGAATTGCATGATGTCAAAACGTAATATAAAATTAAGAAATATTATTATATTATTAAAATTACCAATTCATCGCCACTTCAGCATCCCGTTAGTCACACTAATGGAATTTTAACGCTAGGGACCTTTTAGAACTACCGTCTAAAGGTCGGAGAACAAACTATCATTTTTTAAAACTTAAGGACCAAAATTTATATTCAAATTCATGAACCAAAAATAT